TATTAATGTGGAGGAGATGATCAGTTCACGTGCGCCTTGCGCTGTTGAACTGAGGCGCTACAGCGATCTGTCACTCCACATTAAACAGCGCCAAAACGGCATTTATTGTTTGAATACTGCAATACAATGGACAGAATTTGAAATCTGAGACTTTGTTTCATATTAAAACTACCAAAGCACAATGCTTATTGTGATATATTGAATGGGAAGTGCTCTTCAACGTTCCGTCCATTAACTGAAAACAGGCTAGACTAGTCGATTCTTGGGATTTAAGAATCTATATCGTTCCGTAAAAATTATAATCGATTAATATCGAGATATTGATATTTTTTACCCAGCCCTAATTACATCAAAAAATAAATAATAAATAAATAAATAAATAAATAAATAAACTTAACTCACATTGGATCCATTTAATGCATCTTTGCTGAGCAACAGTATTCATTTCTTACCAAAACTTTTGAACGGTATTGTATATTTTTTTAAATAATCTGTTTTGGCAGATAAGTAAAGTAGATTTGTTCCTTATTTTTTCTCAAAATAAATAAGTCGCAAAATAAAAAAAAAAATGTTCTACTGTACATTGCAAAAAAACATTATCGGCCAAATAAGATAAATACCGGCTTATCAGTATCAGCCAAAATTCCTATTTTGGATCATCCCATATAAACGAAAACAAAGAAAGAGCTGTCTAAAAGAGACAAAGCCTGTCCAATAGACATGCATATATTTTTCCTAGAATTAGTCGCCTCACCTCATCAGAATCGTTCACTTTCAGAATAATTCTCACCTGTTTGTCGCTCAGCAGATAGATGTACTGATAATCAGGACTGAACACCATGTCACGGAGAATCGGGCTTCCCTCCACGACGGGGACCGTCTCATACAGCAGAGCGTTCTCCGAAGGCGGCGGTATACCATCCACTCGAATCTGAAAACAAAATAAAAGACTGAGTTCAATTCAACATGGAATCAAACGTTTCTTCGAAATCTGATTTTGAACGATCCCTCAGTGTGTCTTTGTAATCGTTCATTAACACATAACATTTCCATACCTCCTATACAATAAAATATGATTTTTCTAAGTCATAAAACCAAGATTAATGGAAAATACTATTTTAGTCTTTCTACTTCAATATTTCATGTTTAATTCACTGTTACTTGCCGTTTCTTTGTAATTTGCAATTTCTGACTAAAATTGTTTCCCCACCTTTTTTTTTTCCAGTGAGACTCTCCCATCCAAATCACTTTACTGTATTTTGTTATGCACCCGCCCACTTTTCAATCAAAACAAATCAAATCAAATCCCACCTTACATTATTTCCTCACTAAACATACTTAGATCACAAAAAAAAAAAGCATTTTCATAGTGTTTGATTTTAAATTCCAGGTATTTTACTGTGACTTTACCGCACAGTGTTTCTGGTTGGTGGCATATCATCACTTACACATCTGACTATCACTGACACACGCAGTATTACAATTTTCCTCATGAATGCAGAATTCCTTGGCTGACCTAGAAAACGAACGCAGAACTTTGAGCGAACGCGGCAGCGGAGAGAGATTACAGCATCTGATCAGATGTGCGATAAAAATCAATTACATTTTAACAACACACACACACACACACACTCGAACCCCCGCTGCCTCATCATTAGCGACTCCTCTGTTTCCTCACACTGATAATTAGTGTAGTTGAGCTTGCTGGGTAAAAAGCGAGCTCTAAATATGTCAAATTCAAAACATCTTTGAAGTGACGACTGAGGGAAAAAACACAGAGAGCGGCTGACAACCGCATTTAAAGTCAGAGAGCTCACCTATTTCCCTACCCGCCGAACGTCAGCGCGCGCCTCGGTCCTAATCAATTCTGACACCAATGTGATAGGAGATTGAAACCAAGCTGCAAGTAAACTAAATTCCCACCGAAAAGGTACGAAATGGCATTTGGGAAACGGCAGAGAGATCAAAATGAGAAGAAGAAGCGAAAGAAGGTGTGAGGTGGAAAAAAAAACACCCGAAACAGATGCACTGGCAGCGGACTTGGGCCGTCTCCTAAATATCTGGGTCGGTCTGAAGTGACAAACATCGTTAGTCTGTTAATTAGCTGCCTCCTCATTGCAGCAGTTGCAGTAATTAGGGTTGACAAGGTGGCATCAATTAGTCGAAGGCTGCCATATTGGGTGTCACATATCGCCGGCCAAGTCAGAGCCCACGTCTCCCCGGGCAGCAGGACAGAAGGCCTAGAAACACGACGGACTCTGTCTGCGATTCGTCAATTCATGCGCCACCAGCTGTAGTGTCGTTTTTCGCAGCCTTTGGCTACAGAGTTCCCTCGTTTAAACGGATCGGTTTAACACCAGCCGCCAGGTTTTGCGATACCCTCGTGGAACCGGATCAATTCGTGAAAGTAGAAAGCAGTTCAATGGAAAAAGAGAGACGGCATGTATTGTTCACAATTTAATTGATTCGAATACACTTAAAGAGACAGTTCACCCAAAAATAAAAATCAACTTAAAACATAGTTAACTAACCTCCATGTCAACCTGTATGAGTTTTCCTTCAGTGTAAACAGAAAAGAAGACAGTAGGGCTTCAACAGGGCCCAAGCATCAGTGAACTGTATTGAAGATCAAGAAAAAAAAAAGAAAAAAA